TATTTTGGGGATTAAAAATGATATGCACGTGCTTATTTATGAGCTATTTTCTGAAGACTTATAGTGCATCAGGAACACCAGATATGGCAGTTAATAGGACACATAAGGATCATTTTCTCATGGAACTGGGATTCTGTTGGTCGAATTAAGATGCAGAAAATTCAGGTTTCAGTCTAACTACATTGTTGCTACTTTGCATAATTCATGGTCAACACTATTTTTTCCATTAAGTTTATGTGGCTTTTGGTGAAGCACTTAAGGCTTCATAGTTAACAAGCTATCTATCCTTCCATCATCATCATCCTCTTTTCCTTGTGGTACTGGTAGGTTTGAACTGAGCACCTAGACATTCTAGACAAGTGTTCTATCATAGGGCCATATCCACAACCTTCTTTTTTGCTTTTTGTTTGAGTCAGGGTCCCATTAAACTTCCCAGGCTGGTTTCAAACTTGCTATGTAGTTCAGGAAAGACCTTGAACTCATGATCTTCCTGCTCAAATTCCCCTGATTCACCCGTCATGGCTCCATTCTATCATCTTGATGCCAGGGTCATTCATATTCTTTTGGTATCCTACAACACATGGCAAAATGTGTGGGGCAGAGTGAACATTTGGAATATGTTCAAGCACATGAATTTCCTTTGTTATGGTCGGGTGACATGACATAGCCTGCCCTATAATTTGAAGCAAGAACACAAAAAATATTTTCAAAATATAGCGGCAGGGATGAATTTTGTTTGGAAACACAACTGTATCTATTAATCCACTGAAAACTCACTGTGGGCCATGCACTGGCTGGACAACAGGCAGATGCTAAATCGTTATTAATACCCTGTGAGGTATGTACTAATTCTTATTATTTTGTCTATAAGAGAGTTGAAGTGCTTCCCAGGTGGTGTCAGTGCATGCCTTTAATCCCAGCATTTGGGAGACAGAGGTAGGTGGATCTCTGTATCTCTGTGACATTGTGGACAGTCTGGTCTATGAAGTGTGTTCCAGGATAGCCAGAGCTACTACACAGAGAAACCTTGTCTAAAACAAAACAAAACCAAGAACAAAAATGAAACAAACAAAAAACCAAAGACAGACAGACAGACAGACAGACACACACACACACACACACACACACACACACACACACACACAGAGAGAGAGAGATTGACAGAGATAGAGACAGAGATGAAGCTCCCATTGTGTTCATATCTTTCCTAAAGAAAGGTGGGCATTTCCTAAAGAAATGATGACTACCTTAAATACCATCCTAGAGCCTTCATCCAGTAGCTGATGGAAGCAGAAGCAGCTGCTGCTAAGCACTGAACCAAACTCCTGGGATACAGTTGTAGAGAGGAAGGAGTGACGAACAAAGGGGTGAGGACCATGCTGGAGGAACCCACAGAAACAGCTGATCTGAGAAAGTAGGAACTCATGGATCCCAGTCTGACAGCTAGGGAACCAGCATAGGACCAAACCAGGCCCCCTGAACATGGGTGTCAGCTAGGAGGACTGGGCAGTCTATGGGACCTCTGGCAGTATTCTTCCTGGGATGTATTCCTAGTGTGGGAATGGACTTCGGGAGCTCATTCCCCATAGAGGGATACTCCCTTAGCCTAGAAACACAGGGGAGAGCCTAGGGCCTACCCCAAATGACCTGAAACATTTTGATGATCCCTCATGGATGGCCTCACCCTCCCTGGGGAGTGGATGGGGGATGGGATGTGTGGGGCATGGGAGGGTGGGAGCGAGAGGGAGCATGGATTGATATGTAAAATAAGGTTGCTTCTAATTTAAATACAAGTTATTAATAAAAAATAGAAAAAATAATCACCTGCTTTCTACATAATGTTCCATTCATGAAAGAGTAAAGCAAATTTACATACTAACAAAAAAGGAAGGTGGGTAGTCACACTAATACCCAAGCCACACAAAGACTCACCAAAAAAAGAGAATTACAGACCAATTTCCCTCATGAACATAGATGCAAAAATACTCAATAAAGTACTGGCAAACTGAATCCAAGAACATATTAAAAAGATCATCCACCATGATGAACCATCCCAGAGATGCAGGGATGGTTTAACATACTGAAATCTGTCAGTGTGATACACCATATAAACAAGCTGAAAGAAAAAACAAAACCCCTGCATTATCATCTTATTACATGCTGAAAAAGCCTTTGACAAAATCCAGCACCCCTTCAAGATCAAAGAAAGAGAGATTAGGTATACAATACAATAAATAAAAGCAATATACAACAAGCCAACAGCCAATATCACATTAAATGGAGAGACACTCAAAGCAATTCTACTGAAATCAGAAACAAGAAAAGGCTGCCCACTCTCTCCATATCTATTTAATATAATACTTGACGTTCTAGCTAGAGCAATAAGACAGCAAAAGGAGATCAAGGGGAACCAAATTTGGAAAGGAAGAAGTCAAACTTTCATTATTTGCAGATGATGTGATAGTTTACATAAGTGACCCAAAAGACTCTACCAGGGAACTCCTACAGCTGATAAACACCTTCAGCAAACCAGCAGGATACAAAATTAACTAAAAAAAATAATCGGATCTCCTATATATATACTAAACAGGCCAAGAAAGAAATCAGAGAAGCAACACCCTTCACAGTAGCAATATATATATATATATATATGGCTAATTTAATTCTAATCAAGCAAGTGAAAGACCTATATGACTAGAACTTCAAATCTTTGAAGAAAGAAGTTAGAGAATATAGAATATAGCAGAAAAGACAACAAATGGGACATACTAAAACACACACACACGCGCGCGCACGCGCGCACACACACACACACACACACACACGAGATGTCAAGGAACTGACTTTTAAGTAACTGTGAGGGCTGAGATTTGTATTTGTAAAGGTGATCAACAGGCAAGGCAAGAGTTGATGTTGCATTTTTAACTCCAAATGAAGGTAGCCTGGAAGCTGACGTCCTTCCTTGGGTACCTCTTTAGCCATAGTTCGAGGTTTTGAAGCAATTCAATGTGGAGATTTTTGGTGGGACTATTACTTTAAATTTTAATCATGTCTAAAGAAATATCCCCATACTAACATGTTGCCTGGCACAGGACCAAACAAATGGTCAATCTGAAACAGAAAGTTTACCATCACAACTAGTATATGGAAGCAAGCTAGGAGAATTCTACCTGGTCTAAAGTGGAATTGCATAATTGAAATGGTTTGTGTAGACATAATGGTGCATGCCTGTAATTTAGGATCTTAGAAGGCTGAAGTGGAAGGGACTGCAAATTCTAGGCCAGACTGTATTACATAGTGAGACCCCTGACTCCAGGAAAAAGAAAAGAAAGAAAAGAAACAAGGAAAAAAATTGAAATAAGAGTAAGAGAAGTAGAGAGAGGTTTTTAATTTTATTTAACTTATTTAAGAAATAAATGACCAATGGAAATTTTCTCTTGATTTTACAGCTATTGTCACAAAGAAGATATTTCAGGACCCCCTGAGGCAGACAAATCCAAGCTTTCTTGAGGAGCTGCAGCCTTGATGACAGAGATGCTCCAGGGAGGAAGTCAGAGTAAAAAATAACTCTAGCTTCCTGCTGGGGCCACAGTCGGGTGCCTAAGGGGCAAGCCAACTGTGAGGATGAATGGGCTGCTGTGGAATGCTATTTCTAGTCGTCAAGCAAGTTTGGCATCTTCTTCCAACATCCTAGTAACTCAAAGGGAACCTGAGATGATCCAAAGAATCTGATAGGAAGCAAGCCTTTTAAAACATAAAGCTGAGGTATAAAAACAAATATTTGTATTTTTCAAAATACATCTTTCACCACTACTCACATCTTATTTGCAAGGTATTTTCAGGAAATACTCTCACTGCCCATGCTTACTCAGTGTAACCTATTATGTTAAACTGAACTCAAGGGGGGGGGGGTGCATGCTTGTGTAATTAGAAGTACTGCCATCACCACCACAAAAATAGTAAAGACAATCTCTACCTTAGGATAACAGCCTCAGATTTTGCCCTTTTCTTTTCTTACTAAGCAGGACTTCCTGAATGGTCCAGTTAAGGTTGGTGAGGCCATTGCAATGTACAGAAAGCCTCACACACCCTGCCCATTATTTATTCATTAGTTCATGACGTTCAATACTCACATCAGTTCTTCACAAAGAGTCAGCATGAAGTAAACAGTATTTACAGCAGTACACAGTTTGCAATTCAACATTAACAGCAGGAAGAGAGGGACACAGACTAAGAAGGCCAGAGGAAACAGACTATTAAAATAAATCCCTTCTGCCAATCTGTGCATGTGTGCCCATACCTTACTGCATTTTAATTCATAGAAAACTAAAGATGCCCTCTTTTAAAGGCAGACTATATACAAGTAGTCCCGAGAAGCACAAACACAGTAGTCGCACTGGAGACTTTCTGTGAATCCATCTAGATTTCTTGTTTTAAAATTCTGAAATACTTTCATCTATTAAAGAAAATATGGGAACATTTGTTCATAGTATTCTTACAAAAAGCCACAGTTCATGCTTTGTTTTAAAGGTGGACTGGTGAAGCACCTTGTAGAAGACACTGATGGATTATTCATTTACTGTTTACTGTGGACCAGAAAGACAATGGCAGTTACAGAGAGTTCCTAACACTCCTCTTATTCTTTTTTACAAGTAGCAACATGTGACGGGAAATCTGCAAACACAAATCACGCACAAATCACCAAAGCATTTCTGTTAACAGTGCTGAAAAAGTACAAGGTCTACAACAGTATTACAGACACTGAAAACATTCCAAATACTCTTTAGCCTCAGGATTTTTTCAATACTACTTATAAGAAAAGACAACAATTGCCAGAAATAGGAGGAAGTTACAGCACTTGAGGTTTGAGGCAATTTCTTTTTAGGACCTGTAGCTTGAGATACTGTTCTAGGATCCTTATTTTTTAACTTAAAAGATATTCAGGAATGAACTGACAAATGAAAAGCAATGTCCACTTGAAAACCACTGAGAATACAAAATCACGTAACAAGCTTGTCCAGCACACATTTATTTTCAGGATCCCAAATTGCTAGGCAAAAAGATTCAGGTCAGCTTTAATCCCTCAAAACCACAGAATTTCCACCTCTTCTCTAGGCTGGCTCCAACTCCAGTCATTTCCTGTCTGAAGGTATGCTGGAGTCTGCTCATGAGACCTTCCACGTCACCAGTGCAGATCTGTGGGACAGAGAGGACATCCTCCAATCAGAATCATCTTTCCAAATCCTTGGCCATCTGCTGATGTGTGTGTGCTGAGGGTGGTGTCAGGTAATATATCAGGCCTTGTGCAATTGTGTGTATTGCTAGAGTGGTTTTCAGACAAAAGTGTTCATCTGCTGGGAGCACTAGACACAGTCCACTGAACTGCTCTTGGCATGAGCAGTTGCATGGAGAAGTCTGGGCTAACTGAATCAGGCCAGTTCAATGCTGGGGATACATGGCCAGGCCCATTGAGCTACAAAGTGTTTTTGGAGGGGACACAGGCAGAAATGCCTGTCAGTGGAGTATTTTCCACATATGCATCAGACCACAAAGGAAGAGTAACAGGAGTGAAGAATGCTCTCTCTTCCTACTTTGAAGTCTCATTACTTTCTTTTTCCCAACACACACACACACACACACACACACACACACACACCCCTTCATAAAAAAGCAAGTCTGTGGAATCCTCAACGGTTTCTCTTCTTGTAGTCATTTTTTTTTTTATTCATAGTGACCTTCTTAATTGTGAGCCTGGATACAGGGCTTAGCTGATGACCTTAAAGAAGCCTGGTGTTACTGCTACTCAGAACTTGGGTATCCTTTAAAGCCCTCGCTGGTAGGTCTTGACATTATTCTGGCAGGAAGTTGCTAGGATGTAGCTAGTCCAGAGTAGGAGTGAATCTGTGCCCTCCACCCAATTCTTCTGATTAATTAGATCCACTTAAGTTAAAGAAGCACATTGTGTAGGGTACCATAGAGAGTAGAAGTGCCATTTTAAAATGTGTGAACAGATAATGGATCTATATATACCTATAGATAGATACCGTGTAGATATGGGAAAGGGTCTGAAATTACAGGCTAAAATGTTAACAGTGCTTATCCTAGAATTGAGACTATAGGGAATTTTACCTTTTCTTCACTATGTTTCCATATCATTTGCATTCAAAGACAACATGCATTAATTTTAAAAATTAAAAAAATGAAGTTTTACTGACACATATTTCAATATTCTGCTGCTGAAACTGATCATGTGACCTTGATACCACTGGTCCATCATCCCTTTAACTGCCCCATGGGGTATATGGATACAGAATAGAATTACTTCCTAGAGGGAAATAAGGAGGCAATACAATCTAGAACTAACACAAAGGCCAGAGACGAAAGTGTATCACTGAAGTTAGCATATGCTCGAGTAATTAGGTTCTCAAATGGCCAGTGCCCTTGCTAAGATGATAAAGGCTTCTCTGATTTAACATTTTGGACAACATAATGTCAGGAACCCACACTCAATGGAACTTCCCAGGAGGCTTAGTTTGGTGTATATATCTACAGGGAAGCTTAACTAAATTCTGCTTCTGAAAAAAAAAAAAATATTGTGAGCTTCTTTTTTTCCCAAGGAGGAGTTGAGAGTCTGCCCCTGCTGCTATGAAGTATTCTTGACTTTCTAGGGAATTAACACTTCCCCTCACTTCATGTGAGCTGTGAGCTCCCGCCTTGAGGATAACATGTAGATAAATGGTTCACAGATCAGCTCTGAGCAGCTACCCAATTGGCATTCCAGAAGCCCTCAATATTGTTCTATCAGACAATGTCAGTGGTGAAGGTGGGAGTGGTAATTGGAATAAGATTTCCAATTTTATAAATCAAAATTGTTGATGGCTAGAGGCCCAGGACAAATGTCCAATGGGGAAGAGAGAAAGTCGTGGTTAATTTGCTAGGTATCTGGCAGCTTGTGTGGACATCAAGAGAAGGAAGCAAGAATCTTCTAAGATGTAGCTCAGGAAAAGGCTGGCCACTTAATTCTAGTTTGCATGGAATTTCCTTAGTTTTAGCATCAAAAAGTCTCAAGTCTCAGGAAATTGCTCAGTTTCAGGCAAACTAGGGAGAAAGGCATACCATTTCTAAGAGGGATGTTGTATACCAAATCACAGTGAGACTAGAAGTAAGGGAAACTTGCTCAGAGCCATAAGTAATATGGTCTGCTTATGCTTGAATTGAGTAAGGTCACCTACACAGAAAGAAGTCTTCATCCTTCTGTCTCCACTTGAGTTTCCCACATACCTTATTATCAAGACGGTGTAAGTAGGAACAGATGTATTCAATGCTTGCTCCAAATGGGTGAACATGAAGGAATGTGGAGATTATCCCTGCGGAGACAGTGCCCCAGAGGTTACACTTCAGCATGAAATTCCTTGAGATTCCACAGTGAATGAACACATACAGACAAAACATACATATGCACACAATACATACGCTGGGTAGTATTTTAAGTTTGCATATATTTTACTCATTGAATCTTTGTAAGAACCCCGTGGCATAGGCACTGTCAAGCCCCATTTTACAGATGAGAACACCAAGACAAAGTTTCTGCATATAGCTGACAAGTGGTAGAGCAGGGAAGTGAACTTAGCAGTTCTTACCACTCATTGCCTTGCACTGTGCTATACCACACATAGTGCAGCTGGTATGTGAGGTCACTCCAATCGCTTGTCATCACTGAGAACGATTTGAATATTAGAATTCAGATTATGATGTTTTTTTTTTGGCAGTCATTAAATAAGACTTTACGCTCTAAGGAATTAAGAATGTTTTGCGGGAAACACACATATCACACTTTGCCATATTAACCTAGCTCCTTTCACAGAAGACTCTGCTGATTGCATGGGGCTTCCTATTGTGAGGTGCTCTAGAAAGGAGCCAGACATTTCCTTCACTCTGACATGACTGTTCACTGCTATTGTGTGTTGTGGGCCCCAAATGTGTTCCTATAGCACTTTTCAGCTTTCAGCAATGCCCAGGAAATTCCTCCTCAGCCTATCTAATTCTGGGGTTAGAGGCAGCTGCAATCATTGTCTTTATTCTTATGGATGTCACATTTATTGTTCTAATACCTAACTGGCAACAAGTAGAACATTTGTTCAAAAATAGTATAGATTCATTTTTAAATGCTTGTGAATTCATTTCCTTTTATCGGATCTTCTAGAATTGAGCCTTCTGAAAACTACCAGGAAATAGGCATTGATTTGGTTTAGAAAGTACAACTTTTCTGTCCTTTCAAAGGCTGACAAAGAATTGTGCAAGTTTAAATTATACCTTGAAATTCAATTATATTTTATGAAAACCTTCCAAATATTAGATAGTGAAGGGTGGGCTGGGAGAATCTGGGAAGAATCAGGGTGAGTCACAAAATCTTTTCAAAAGGCATACTACTACTTTTATCATTACTTTATTCTTAAATGGCCAGGTAAATTGAATTTCTAAGCTCTGATTTGAATTGAAAAACTTCAGTTCTGAAGAAAAAAGTCCATATTCAAAGAAAGTCTAAATGTCATAACTAAGGAAAAGTATCAAATGCTAAGAAATAAGTTCAGAGGTCTAAAAACACTAATCAGTTTTTGTGAATTCACACTCAAAAAACTTATTTTAAAAAGCAGATTTCTCCATCAGCTAAAGACTACATTCTTTAAAAACCAAAACAAGAGATGGTCTTTTGAAAGAGTCTGTTTTTTTTTTCCTCTTAGACTATCCACTTACAGAGAAGTTCCTCTCTCCCCAATACATCTCTGTCACCATGACAATTGCTTAAAAACTTTTGAGTTGAAAAATGTTAAAAAGTTGCCTGGGTTTTTTTTCTTTTGAAGTCTCAATGGCAGATCCCCCTGTGCAACTTTGTTAACATATCAGAGCCTTATATCAGAGTATAACACCCATTCCTAAGGAAGATAGATATTCCTTCACAATATACAGAAGCCAGGCAGCATGGGTGGCTTCGGAGGGTGGGATACAGTTAACCTGTGGCTCAACATCCTAGAAGGAAGCTTGGATTAACCAACTCTTGCTAGAGGACCAAATAATTCGAACTCCAATTTTCCATGAAGTCAACAAGCATTTGTGACTAATACTGCAAGTGCAAGCTGCTTTCCTTGTACTATTGTTCCGTGTGAAGTGACCTGGGATAGGTTATGTTAATATTTGGAATCCACCTTTGAGGTATGTAATAGCTTGTCCAATTTGAAGATGGAAGAACTGAATCTCAGCAAACAGATATAGGCATCAGATGGGCAGCTATGGCTGCCCAATTCCTTAATTGTAAAATTTGGAATTTTTTTAGGTAGTAAGAGCAATCCTAGCGAGTCTAACACACCCAAGTCTAACACATTATCGACAATTTCCTGAGTCAATTTGTCCATGTGATATAACGACAAAATAAATAATTTTTGTTCCAGTTCTTGGTATACAGACCCTTTAAAAATCCCATTTAATTGCACATTTACTTTGTGTGTGTGTGTGTGTGAGAGAGAGAGAGAGAGAGAGAGAGAGAGAGAGAGAGAGAGAGTGAGAAAGAGAGAGAGAGAGACAGAGAGAGAGAGATCACATGCATATGTGGGTTGAGCCATAGTATGTAAGTTGAGGCCACAGACAACTTGCAAGTGTCAGTTCTGTCTTTCTATCATGTAAGTCCCTGGGATTAAATTCAGGTAGTAAGTTTGGCAGAAGGTTCCTTGCTAGCCTCAGTGTAAATTGTTTTCTGAGAATGGTCTTGAATTTGAAATCCCACTGACTCTGTCTTCTGAGTTCTGAGATTATAGGCATATGCTTTTAGCTTAGTTAGGTGTCTACTTGTGATAGTAGAGGTGGTTGGGGACCCTTTACTAGTTTTATGGTGGGGACTGGCCAACACAACAGTTAGGCTAAGACATAATAAGAGTATGGAGCTGTTAGGTTCCCTACCCTCAAACCAAACTTATATAACAAAACCTCCATAAAGACATGATGGAGATCAGAGAGCTTTCTGGATGGGGAACACAGAAAAATGCTGGGAAAGTAGCATAACAAGCCCAGAAAGCATATAGAAGCTTGATTCCTTTCCTCTTGGTTTCTTGCCCTATGTATCTCTTCCAATTCTCTATTCCTGGGTTTCATCCTCTACACCAGTTGTTCTCACTCTTTCTAATGCTGTGACCTTTAATACAGTTCCTTGTGTTGATGATCTAGACAGTGGTTCTCACCCTTCCTAATGCTGTGACCTTTAATACATTTCCTCATGTTGATGGTCTAGACAGTGGTTCTCACCCTTCCTAATGCTGGGACCTTTAATACAGTTTCTCATGTTGATGGTCTAGACAGTGGTTCTCACCCTTCCTAATGCTGTGACCTTTAATACAGTTTCTCATGTTGATGGTCTAGACAGTGGTTCTCACCCTTCCTAATGCTGTGACCTTTAATACAGTTCCTCATGTTGATGGTCTAGACAGTGGTTCCGACCCTTCCTGATGCTGGGACCTTTAATACAGTTCCTCATGTTGATGGTCTAGACAGTGGTTCTCACCCTTCCTAATGCTGGGACCTTTAATACAGTTCCTCATGTTGATGGTCTAGACAGTGGTTCTCATTCTTCCTAATGCTGGGACCCTCTAATATACTTCTTCATGTTGTGGTGACCCCAAACTTTTACTACTTCTTAACTCTAATTTTGCTCTTGTTATGAATCATAATGAAAATACCTGTATTCTCTGATTCAACCCCCAAAGGGGTTGCATCCCACAGGTTGAGAACTGCTGCTCTACAACATATTGGCAATAGTTATTTCAAGTACTTCTCAGAGTTCTGTGAGTTGTTCTACAAGTTATAGAACGTGGTTGGTGGGGTACTGAGAAGCTCCTGAGTTTATAGCCAGATAGGACCGAGTGTGGAATTTGGTGTTATAGTCTGGATCTAGAGCTCTATCCAAAGTCTCATATTATAAAGGGTAAGTCCCCATCCTGTGGCATCACTTTTAAGCCAAAAGGCCCAGGACACAGTTTCCAAAGCATGCCATTTGAAAGAGCTGTGGGTTGTTAGCCCCTCTCTTGTCTGTCATTCATCACGGCTATGAAGTAAATGATTTTGCCACATATTTCGATTATGATGTGCTGCCTCATTTCAGGACCCGAAGCACAATACTGCCAAGCAATCATGGAGTGAGACTCTAAGACTGTCCACCCAAATAAGCCTTTTCTTTATATCAATGAAATCTGACCAACACATTTGGGGACCTGATGTTTGAGCCTGGTATCTAAAGTGAGGGCTGATTTAGGAGACTGAGTCTTTAAACCTGTGGAATGTAACTTCAGCTAGTTTGTATCAGAATTGAATTGAATTAAGTAGTCAATTAAGTAGGGGTTGGAGAGTTGGAAAAGGAGTATCAGAAAGAACACATGTTATGTCATTTGGTGTCAGAATGGCTCAGTCAATAGCACAGAACTTGAAAGGCACACACTTGCTGTGAGGCTCATCTGGGAAAGCTTCTTCCTCCCTCCCCCGCCAGCAGTGTCTGTACTAGCCTTGTGAATGAATGGGAAAGGGCCTTGTCTCTTTTTAGAGAGATTAATAAACATGCCTTTCCAGTTGACCACTCTGAGTACAATGCTGACCTCAACACACTTGACATGACAATGGCAACAATCAGCCAAAAGTGCCTTGGAGCTGGTCTTAGAATTGTTAGGGAAATTATTGGCCTCGATCTTTCCCTAACCCCTTTAGAACTCCGAGTTCCTGATCATCATATTCATACCACTTGGCAGACACTTGCACCTCAAATGCCCCCTCCTGTCTCTCGCTGTACCTGATGGATTGTGTGTGTGTGTTGGTTTTCCTTACCCACTAGCAGCGCTTCACGCTCAGATTTGATAGGGCTGCTGATTATGATCTTCTCAGAAGGGTAGTCACTTTCCTGGCTTGATGCACACAGTCTAGAAGCACAGTTTTCCTGTGGGAATAACATGCTTCCTGCGTCAGTTCACCTCATTTACCTAAAGAGTTGCTTTCAATTAATTGCACAACAATAATTATTCAATTATTAAAGATGAGAGATACAGTCTCACTATGTTGCCCTGTTTGTTCTGAAACTGTCAGACACAAGTGATCCTTCCACCACAGCTTTCTGAGTATCTGGGATGACAGGTGTATTCCAATGTGCCCAACAATAGGTCCACAAAAACAACACAGTGCCATCAAGACAACATAGTCCAATTTGGACGGAAAATCCAAATTATAAACACTACAGATTACCCAAGCTGCCTTTTAAAAACATTTATTTGGTGTGTGTGTGTGTGTGTGTGTGTGTGTGTGTGTGTGTGTGTGCCATGTGGGTACTGGGGATTGAACTCACTTCTTCAGGCTTGGCAGCAGGTGTCACTACCAGCTGAGCCATCTCAATGGTTCCAAAGCATCAAATATGACTTCAAAATTCAGAACGATATAAACACTTAATTTCACTGGTTGTGTTTTCCTTTTCCTGGCTTCATCATTCTTAACTCTATACAAATAATCTTGGGAAGGGGACTCAACACTTTTGTGTATTACATACTGCATATTATTAAACATGTATTATATCCATTATACAGATGAGGAAATCAAGGAAAGGATAAATTGGGTAAATATGCTATGATTGCATTGTTAGGAAATGGAAAGAGGAGACTTAGCTTTTCACATCAGGTTATATTCATTCATATCCCCACCCTCAACATTAGATTCATACTCCACTTATGGTAAGTTCCACAAAAAAAAAAAAAAAAAAAAAAAAAAAAAAACCTGGGAAGTGCCCAAGCTACTTAGGTATCAGTATCAGTGCTGGCTTTTGGACTAGAAATTAGAACCTTTACTTGTAGACTAGAGACTCTCTGTTTCTCTTCTCTGTTATCAGTTAAAAATATTTCTGGCTTTATAGTCAGAAATGAGCATGAATAAAAATATCAGTGTCAGTTGCCTTCTTGGTTATGGAAACTTTTTCTGAGTGTAGCAGTTTGGTTTTATGAGGTACTCAGGTGAAATCCACGCCGGGCAGGCACTGAATCTGAAAAGTGCTCCTGTACTGTTTGTGGATCTTTCTGTCTTTGGGTGTGAGGAAAAAGTACCTTTCTATATGGTATAGATGAAGTAAGTGAGGTAGTCCTTCTGTAGCACTGACCACGCCCATTGGGGGGTGGAGCGATGGGCGGAGGTGACCTGAGGAAGGAGGTCAGAGTGGGCCAGGAAGGCGCTCTCTCTTTCTGGCGTGACTCTGACTGGAGAGGATCGGTTGAATTTCCTGGTGTTTATCTGTCTAGGTTGTAAGTTATTTCTCCCTGAATAAACATCTATTCGGCCTATTTGTTTATCCTGATCCTTATTTACCGCAATAGGTAAAAGAGATCCCTGCATCAACCTCACTGTTCAAGTCTTTTACTGTTTGTAAACGAAAGTGCTGGGGGTGGCTGCAGCTCATGGTTGATTCAGGTACTTTGTCACTCCTTCCAGTAGCTCTCAGGTGTCTTCAGAGTTTGCTAGCCTTGGAATGAAGCGAATGGTCTGCATATGCTGCAGGACATCAGTTTTGTGCCACGACTGATTTAAAGCACTGGCTTATTTCTAAGGCAGCGGCTCTGCAGCTGCTCCTAAGTCATATCTTAAGTGTGGGCACTTAATGGATTGAGCTTGGTTTAAGATATTAGGATTTTTTGAGCCATCTTGAATGGCTAAATTCACTTCCTCAACTGGACCTCATTCCAAATTTATCAAGACTGGCATTTAGTAGATTATAAGGGATATCAGAAGATGTTTATTTCTTTCACCTTTACTAGCAGATTCGAGGAGGTCGTTCTTTCCACCAGTATAATAGCTATAAATCACACTGTTATATTGCAAAACACTGCCAATAGCACCTACTGTGGCTTACTGTCAAGAAACCCAAAGAAAAGCAACAAACAGAGCCCTCATGACCGGAACTTACTGCTTGCCTGTCAAGATGAAATTATTTTGTAGTCTAATGTGATGGTCTTTTTCTTTCTAACCTAATTGTTTCAGGTTGAAATGTTTGGTCACAAATCAGCTCCACAGAGAACATCAGCTTGTAATGATCTGTCATGAATTCTTCTAAAAGATGCTTTGGTTGAAATAACAGGGGAAAAAAATCTGACCCACAGTTTCCTGATTATCAGTTGGCTCTCTTGTCTTCTTTAGCTGTCGTTTGTGGTATATTCCATTTGAGATGAGAAATACTTGTCATTAATCACAGTATGACAAGTTTCTTCTGTACCATATGACCTCTTGTTTCTTTAAACAAAATTCTCCACAAAGAAGCAGCCTGTACTAAAATTGTGCTTAAGTCAATTTGTAATGGCAATCTGAAGAGTGATGGTAAGTGTGATAGCAGCGGTATAGGCCCTTGTCTATCTAGGGTCTTCTGGCTGCACAATGCATTTTATACAGGAAGAGAAATATGTTGCAGCTCTGACACAATTTAGAAAGTCTGATAGCACGAGGAAAATCCTGATAGTGCAGCAGCTTTGGCACTTTTCAATTAAATGCTTGATAAATGAATTTCTCTGGATTGTGCTCATTTCTTTAATAGCACCCACAAAAGTGGAAAGTGAGTTGATTTTATGATGTGGAAGAATTAAAAGCATATTGCAAATGGCCTCTGAAAGAAAACATTTTCAATCATTTGTTTCAACTACATCAAGGTTGCCAGTTCCTAATGGCTCTCTGGTGCACATCCCCATGCTGGTAAACACACCCAGGGCCTGAATGTGCTCCATCTTCCTGAGCTGAGCACGGAAGATCATCAGCAGAGCTCTTGCAGAACTGTATCATTGCAGATGTTGGACTTTCGGTCCAAGCCCCTATATGTTTTCTTTCTTTTCAAATATCCACAGCAGGCAGTTCTGGTGAATAAGTCATTTTTTTTCTAGAATATAACTTCAGCTGAGTACTGAGGCATATGAAACTGGAGAGGTACGACTCACAGACATCAGGAGACATTACATACCAAAAGGAGATACACCTGGCTCTTGGTTGTGATGCACAGATGAATCCAAATGTTAAATTGACTCTCCTAGTCTTCACTGTGTTCTTTATGCAGCTGGCTGTCACTTGATAAAGTTTCACCTTTCCTTTTTTGTTGCTGTTATCTGGTTTTAGAAAACTGTGTCTCCTTGTTTCTTTACAAGGCTTCCCCCATTTTGGTGTTGCCTCTTTTGTTTGCTTATTTGTTTGTGACAGAGTCTCTTGTACCCCAGGCTGGCTCCTAACTTGGTATGTAGGTGAGGATGACACTGAATTCCTGATTCCCTTGCCTCCATTTCTTAAGCTTTGGTTCATGTGTGTATCACCATGCCTAAGTTGGTATTGGCTGTTACTCTGACCTGTGGGTGCTCATGATTACGTGGAGTGGGTGTAAAGAAGTCTCAGTGCTCTATCTGAATTTCTGCTTTAATGAAATGGTCCGTTAAAGGCGTGCTCATCTGAGAAGATGGGACTTCAAATGAGGGAAATTTGTAGGGCACTTTTTCCTGATTAATGATTGACATGAGAGGACCCAGCCCACTGTGGGTGGTGCCACCTTTGGGCAAGTGGACCTGGTGTTGTATAGAAGGCCAACTGACTGAGCTATGGGGAGCAAGCCAGTAAGCAACATTTCCCTATGGTCTCCTAACCCTAACCCTTTAGAAAGGTTAAGTACTCAAAAGCAGAGCGCTTGATATAAGAATCACCACACAGAGGGACTTTGTTTTGGTTTTTTGTTTGTTTGTTTGTTTTTTACTTTTTTAAAATTATTTTTTTATTTTACATACTGATCCCAGTTCCCTCTCCCTCCCATCCTCCCATGCCCCCATCCCCCACCCACTCCACAGGGAGGGTGAGGCCTTCCAGGAGGGATCATCAAAATCTGTCAAGTCATTTGGGGTAGGGACTAGGCCTTCCCAGAGAGGGACTTTTGATTCCCAACCAGCAGTATTTGTAGAAACTTCTAGGGCATTTTCATTATCACTGAAAGGGGGATGGGGGTGGGGGTGTGGTGGAGGGAAAGACTGACATAGGACTCACATACCTTATCTTGAAGATTTTCCAACATTTTTTCCACCTGTAACTTGTCATCTTTGATTTTTTCAAGTTCAGCTTCTTTCTTTTTGTACTCATCTTGGACTTTGAGCAGATGCTTCATGAAAGAGCACAGATAACGACACCACTCATTTGGGCTACACTTCATGCACAATCCCTGGCTGACGTGAGGTATCAGGTAGACGACCCTCACTTCCTCCCCTACAAGTAGTATTTTTTCCACATAAAGAATCTTGGGGAAAGTAAGATACTTTTGTCTCTTTAAAATACGGGTCCTTTGGCTTTTTGGAGCCCACTCCCTATGGTGGGATAGGTTGCTCAGTCTTGAAACAGGATGGGGGGGGGCTAGTTCTACCTCAACTTGGTAAGCCAGACTTTGTTGACTCCTCAAGGGAGGCCTTAATCCCTCTGAGGAGTTGATGGGGGGTAGGATGGAGGGAGGTAGGGAGATGAGAGAAAGGGGAGGAAGGGGAACTGGGGTGGGTATGTAAAATGAAAAAAAAATTTAAATAAAAAAATTACACTAAAATCTGGTTCTTATATAATTCTTCTGAACTTGTTTGTATTTTATAAAGTACTAGAGAAACTAATAAACATAATAACTTAGCTTCTTCCCTGCCCTAGGGTAACATGCAATTAATAGTGTACAAACTGTATCTTAATTATTGTGGAGGCACGAACTTAATGTTGAAAAACATTTTTGTGAAGTTATCTGGCACACCATTTGATTTGTGTAGATAAGATAGTCATGAATCCAAATTTCACATATGTTTCCATATTAGTATGCAATGACCTGGATTTATTGTTATCAGTTATGGCATTATTTACTGAATCTCCAGTATGTTTTAAGCATTGTGCTAAGAGACTCATGTGCATTAATTCATGTGACCTTTCCCAAGGGCATTCAGATAGGAAGTAGCAGAGTAATATCTAAAACTAGGCCAGGTAACTGACATTCCTTTACCTAAATCCATATTTACAATAAATCTTTTGAGATAAAATGGGAAAATGTTGTTCATTGGTTGTAATAGTATTTTCCCAATGGAAAAAAAAATTCAAAATGAACGAAATCGGCTTTTACGATACAGAGACCTCTTGCTGAGGTCTTTGCATCTGACAGAACTGTTCTTAAATGGTTTCGAAAGCAATGTAAGGAGAAACAATGACAAAAATATTTCCAAGGTCTTATTTCAGACTTAAAAAAAAAACCCATCAGTTAAAAACAAGGTATGTTGTCAAAGCCTTTTGAAGGGTAGCTACAGGGACAGGCATTTTTTTTTTTTTTTTGGCAGAAAGATCTCTGATACAATTTATGTACTCTAATTAAACTCTGTGGTGACAATAAAAGAAAAGTAAGCATTACTTCACATATTTTACTAATGGGAAAGGTGAAATATTAATGTGATAATACTTGTCACTTAGCAAGACAATGGTGACAGAAGGAATAACACAGGGAAGCTAGTGCCAGAAGAGATTCCCTGTTCATCATTTATAATTTCAAACCAGCAATTATTTTGCCCTAGATAATTTCAGCGCACAGAGTTGAGATGTACTGCACAGTTTAAAATGTAAGGAAGGCATTTGGTAAACTGTCACGACAGAGTATGATCATATCCTTTCTCAAAACACTAGTCCTTCTCTGTAGTCAAACAAGGTGCTGATAATTTTTAAATTGGAGTCTTACTGTTGTGATGGCCACATCAAACTTCTAGATACTGAGCACCTGTTATTATTCATGAGGTTTCACTTGAATGCAGGTTCCATTGGATTTATTTCTTTTACTTTTTATTCAAATAAATCTTTAGCATTCATTTTATTCTTCATTTGTTTGCTTGTTTACATTCTGACTGCCATTTTATTTTTTATCACACACACACACACACACACACACACACACACACACACACGGAGATCGAAGGAGATCATCATATACCATGAAGCTGAAGGTATAGGTGGTTAGTTATCCAACATGGGTACCAGGAACCAAATACTAATTAATCTTCTTCAAGTGCTCTTAATCATGGAGTCATGTCTCCAGTCCTCTCATTAATTTTTATGCTTGGAATTATGTGCTGGTAAACTCATATAAATTGCCATGAAATAAAAAATATCCAAACTGGTATTACAATCCCAACACACTGATACTTACTACAAGGTCCCCATTTCCATAGAAATCAAGGGTGAGATGCTCCTTGTTTCTTCTAAAAGACTAACTACATTTTGTTGTTTCAATACTGATCAGCATTTTATCATATGTAAGTAAATGACGTTTCTCCATAAAGACCCCTAGCCATATCTATAGCCTAAAGTAACTTCTGATCTTTTGGTCTCAGCACATCTCTTTGCAAATGAAGAGCTGATGCCATCCTTCCAAATGGCATAGGAAAACAAATCACACATACCTGTTGCATCCCTTGTAGGGCTTGCTGCAGAAGTTTCAGCTGCTGTTCCTTGTTTGGGTCATCTTCCCGTTGGGCTTTGCCTTGTTCTTGCTTGAGCAGTTCTACCTCGTTCCGGTAGGCATCCAGCTGCCAACGGAGGCTGTCATTTTCCTCCTTTAGAGCTTCGGCCTGTGATACTAAGGCTAAATAGTCAATGGAAAATGTTAAACTTTGTGCCTAGATGTTTTTGTGGTATACCTGAGTGCTATAAAAATTAGTTACTTTAAATACTTTAAATCAATGTGTAGAAAAATCAGCTTGATAAATAATTTGAGGTCAGTTTTAGTTGTCCATGATAGTGGAAGATGGACACAAAAACAGAACACCTTGCTTTCATAAAGGAAACAGGATTTCAACAAACAGATAACTTCTCTGTAGTTCACATTCTCCAAATGAGGTGTAACTATTTGCAAGTACCACCCAATAATTTCATTAAAATGAAGCAAGTGATAAGAGCACTGTAATGACCAAATATAGGACTGATTGTCTTGAACTGTCTACACAAATATTTTGTTAAAAGATATATATGACATATATATTTAAAAATTGCATTCACTAATACTATAGAAGAAAAGTAACTGCATGATATAATATTTCCACATTCTGTATATGAAAACATTTCCCTTGCATCTTGACAGTAGGTAGGAAGCAAAACAAATAGAAAACAAAAAACTCTGTATTTTTGACACAGGATCATTCTTCATATCCTTGGCTGGCCTAGAACTTGCTATGTGAACAAGGCTGGCCTGTAGCCTTGGCAGGCTTGGAGCTTGCTGTGTAGACCAAACTGGCCTTGAACTCACAGAGAGTGACCTGACTGCCTCCCAAGTACTGGGATTAAAAGTGGGCGCCATGAAGCCAGTCTTAACAACTCTTCTTACTGTCTTCAGAGAGCTGAGATTATTCAGCAAACAACTCCTCAACCTAGAGATAGAGACAGTGTGTACAAGTCACAACTTAGAGAGCTCAAAAGTCATGAGCAAAACCCTCATGGGAACCAGTGCTAGGATTGAGAAACAAACTGCATTACTGGAGGCTCAGTATGGACACGCCTTGAGTTCAAAACTCCGAAAGTGTGTGCTCTGTACACTTTCACGAGTTTCACCTCTAAGAGCTCTACTAGGTCCTCCCACTGAATATCAGAGAAAACCCTCTTTCTGCTTCACAGCGGGGAAGGAACAGCTTTGAAGTTTGAAATGCAAGAACATTCTATTCTTAACAAGACCTACCCCCAGGAAAAACTATTTTATTAGAACTTTTTGGGGTTTTAAAAGCGCATTAATGAGCTGAAGAAATGGAGATACTTAACTCTAGATCAGCGGGTTTCCAATCTGTGGGTGGCATATCAGATATCCTATATATCAGATATTTACAGTAGCAAAACGAAGTTACAATGTAGCAATGAAAATAATTTTATGGTGAGGGGATCACCACAGTATGAGGAACTGTGTTAAAGGATCACAGCATTAGGAATGTTCAGAACCACTGATTTAGACCCTTCCAGACATCTTGTTCCAGCCAAGGGCATAGAAACAAATTTGGGAAGCACTGGTAAAGTTCACAGTCCATGGGCACAAGGTTATCAAAAGGCTGAGACTTAGGGTGAGATATCATTTCAGATGGTAGGGTGCTTACTTAGCATTCAAGAAACTCTGGTTTCAAACCCAATGCCACATAAAACTTGGTATTGTAGCACATATCTTTAATACCACCACCCAAGAGATAGAGGCAGGGCAATCCATAGCCAGGGCTACATAAGATTTTGTCTTCAAAAAAAGTAAGACTTAATCATAGAATTGGCGAATGTGTCTCCTTGTCTTCTCTGCACAAATTAAGGTCCATTTGCTAGAGTTCATTATACCCAAACAGTAGTGTCTGATATTTAACAACAACAACAAAAAATTATACAGATTTATAAGGACTAATAAATTGCAAAGACCAGTTTGAGAACACAAAGACACATTAAAACTCACTTACATAGCCTGGTCTTGTCCTCCCTCTGCATCTGGATTCCAGTTCAGCTCAGTGTTTAGTTGTGGGTGTCTGCTTCTGTTCCCAACAGCTACAGAAACCCACAGAGACAGCTGATCTGAACAAGGGGTAGCTAATGGGCCCCCAGACTGATAGCTGGGAACCCAGCAGGGGACCAACTCAGATCCCCTGAACATGGGTCTCAGCTAGAAGGCCTGGGCAATCTAAGGGACCTCTGACAGTGGAACCAGGATGTATCCCTGGTGCACAAAAGAACTTTGGCATCACATCCCCTATGGAAGGATATTCCCTTAACCTAGAGACAGGAGAGAAGTCCTAGTCCCTACTCCAAATGACTTGACAGATTTAGATGACCCCAGCTGGAAGACATCACCCTACATGTGGAGTGGGGGGGATGGGAGGGAAGGGTGGTCGGGGGGCATGGGAGGGTGGGAGAGCGGTAGGGAGGGGGAACTGGGATCGATATGTAAAATAAGAACATTAAATAAAAAAAGGAAAAAAAAACTGATTTATGTATGGCAAAGATGTTGGTGAAAATAGGCAAATGAGAAGAACATATGAATAATAAAAGTAGAATTGGAAACTCTACGGAAGAGTAGAAAAATTAGTAAACAAAAGCACTATAACAGGCAGAAGACCACTGACAGGCCATTAGTAGATTCACATGGTTGAGGAAAGAATTTCTGAGATTGAAGATATGAAAACCTAAGGCTGTAACTGAAACATGCCTTAGCCCATCCAGGATGGTATTAAAAAAAACCACAAAGACTGCATAGCTTATGCTCAATGGAAATCTATTTTTTTTAACAGTTTTAGAAGCTGAGCAATCCAAATGAAAGCCCCAGATCTTCAGTCTTTGGTGAGCTCCTATTTCTGGGTTCATGAATGGAATCTTTAGTATTCTCACACCAGAAAGGGACAGGGAAGTTCTCTGGGGCCTGTTCCACAAGGGTACTAATGCTAAGCACCTCTCTAAGCTCCACTACCTAAGTGGTGGATAGGTTTCAGCATATGAATTTTGGACCATATAAACTTTTGGGTGACAAAAAAAAGCAGGAAGAAAAAAAATGACTAGAAGAAAAAAATAAGATATCCAGCAAAAAGAAAAAAATGTAAGCATGTATTATGTCAATGCTAAAGAAATATTTGAAACAATCAGGACTAAACATTCCCCAAACTTGTGCCATACACAAAACTACATACAGATTCACAAAGTTCACAGAGCATTAAAGATAAAAGCCCTCAAGTCTAATCAAAGTTCAGCAAATCAAAATAAAGAAAAAAAATCTTTAAATAGGCCAGAACAAAACCAGCACCTTACCTACAGAGGAGGAAATGGAAATATTACATAGGATTTCTCAGAACTACACAAAGCAAGAGGAAAGTATTTTAGCAAAGAAAAAGTAACCAATGTATAATTTTGTGTCCTGTGAAATGATGTTCAAATGGAACTAAGAAGAAATAAATATTCCTTCCTCTAAATAAAGACTGAGGGGGAGTTTTGACAGTAAGCCTGCCCTGTAAGAAATATTAAAGAAGCTGTTGAGAGCAACAAAAATGATATATATTTCAGAACTTCAGATCTATACAAAGAAAAGCAGAGCATAAAAGATGAGTAAGTAATGGTAAAACAAAGTCTTTTTTTTTTCTTGTTAAGTGATCTGGAGTATAATGTTCAAAACTGCAGCAGTAAGAATGCACACACACACACACACACACACACACACACACACACACACACACACGAACGCTTCTGTACATGTGCAATGAATGATAGCAGTGATGCATGGGATGAGAGAGGAACTGGAAATAATTTGTTATTGTAGGGTACTTATAGAACCATACAGGAAAAATTAAAACTGAAATGCTGAGGAAAGAGAAAAAAATAATATAAAATGCTTAAAACCACTCAAAGAAGATAAGGTATGGAGGACAAATTAGGAGGAGAGAAGAAGGACAATCCAAAGAAAAGTGTAGCAAATACGGTAGATATTTATCCAGTCTTACCAATAATCACTCCAAATGTCATTGCTCTAAATACACCAGGCAAAAGACAGATTGTCACTAGAATGGATCAAAAAAGTCCATAGCCATGTATGAGTGCAAACATCTCTATTGTCAGAACTCATGAGGCTACTGCAGGAGGATGGCTTCAAATTCGAGACCAGTCTCTAATCTACATAGAATTTATTTGTAATGAGCAGTCCATTTTCCAAATTTAATTAACAAAGAAAGCATTTTACAGAATATTTTCTATGAATTCACACCGATTGGCCTTATTCAGTCCCACACTGTGAAATAAATAAAAAGCACAGAATAGCCATACATTGAACTAAACTGAATGGTGTGCTTATTTTGCCTGCAGGTGCAGGCCATTTGTGGTTGAAGTGCAATCACCAGAAGTATTACCCCTACAACTTACTCATATATAAAACACATTAAGTTTTGAGCCAGCAAAAATGTGACTTTTTATTTTAAATCAAAACAACAAGCAAACAAACAAAGCCCCACCATACAAATATTCAACTATATGAGTCATAAGAAATATACATTAAATGTAAAAGTAAACAGAAGGAAGACAACACCATTTTAATAGTAATTACTAACGGGAGTAGCTACATGAATTTAACAAAGCCAACTCCAGAGCAAGGAAAGTTATCAAGAATTAGAACAGGGGTCTTGTTAAAAGAGCCTGCACTTAAGAAGGCATCACTCTTTAATGTGTGATATGTTAACAAAGGAGCTTCAAATTATGTGACACACCAGCTGAGGGAACTGTGAAGAGAAGCAGAAGAATCTACTAACTTCCCTCTATAAGATGTGGATGAGGCCAGAAAGCAGAAAATCTGAAAGGGTGTAGTTGAACAGAACTCTGCAATTGCCATCTGCAGAGTATTTCATTCAACTAGAACAAATTACAAATTACAAACTCACTTGGAAGTGTCACTAAAAGAGACCATGTTCTAGGCCATGACTTATACCTTAATGTCAAAATGGAAATTATAAGTGAGTGTTCTTAGACAGCAATGGAATTTAACAAAAAACTCTATAGTGAAGGCGGGCATTGGTAGTGCACACCTTTAATCCCAGCACTTGGGAAGCAGAGGCAGACGGATCTCTGTGAGTTCAAGGCCAACCTGGTCTATAGTAC